TCATTGATGATCACATACATGCTTGCCCTTCACCGAATCCTCTGAGCTTCGGTCCTTCCAAAAGGGAGGGTATGTCCAACCCTCTTTCTTCCGGCTATTTTTACTTCGGTTTTCTCTTTTATGCTAGGTGATGGGACGAGCTCTTCTGAAAGTATTCTATGGAGGTCATCTTTTAAAGATGACCGATCGTGCCAAAGAATTGGCATGGGAGCTCTGAGCTCAAGGGATTTGCACAACACTGAAGTCTTCAAACTGAAGAATATGGTCTTTGATTTTTGATAGGCAGGTTATCATTATATTGTCCTTCACCTCGTATTCATCTTGAATTTGTTTGACTACCAGCTGAAAGTCGATTCAAGCTTGCAAGCGCCTAGCCCCATGAGCTAGCGTCAATATTAACATGGCTATCAAGGCTTCATATTTGGCTTTGTTGTTTAAGACTCTAAATCCAGATCGCAAAACATACTCTACTTTTACCTAATTTGATGTAAAAAGGATTATTGGCCCAGTCCCTCCATAAGTGTCAGAGAATCTGTGAATGTATAATGTACACATTAGCTTTTCTGGCAACACTAGGGGATTTTTTTTGGCTTCTTCGTTGTGATTTTCACACTGAAGTCTACGAACACTTGTCCTTTAATGGAGGTCCTTGGTTAATAAATCATATCAAATTCCCCAAGTTCAATGGACCACTTAGTCAATTGTCCCGATACTTCCGTCCTTGCAATACTTGAAGTAAGGGTGCAACTTCCTATCTACAGTGATTAAGGCCAAAACTACCTTCTATAGCTTAGAATTTCTGATCTCAACTCTCGTGAGGATGTATCTGGTGTAGTAAACCGGTTTCTGGACTCCTTGTTCCTCTCTTATAATGGGGGAACTAGTTGCAATTTTTGAGATTGCCAAATAAAAGTATTAACTTTTCCCCAGGCACTGCTCTTGACAAGAGTGGTGGAGAGCCTAGGTACTACATCAATTCCTCAAAAGCTAAACTGCATTCGACCATCCATTCAAAAGTTTTCCTAAGGGTTTTGAAGAAAGGTAAACATCAATCACTAACTTTAAACACGAATCTATTGAGTGCATCAACCTTTCTAATTGGGCATTGTACTTCCTTAATGTTCCGAGGTGGCTGCATGTTCAGTAAAAGCTTGAATCTTATCTAGGTTGGCATTGATTCCTCTTTGTGACACCAAGAAACCCAATAATTTACCATAGGACACTCCAAAGGTTTTAAAGGTCGCATCCAAGTGTGCCACATGGTCTTTGGTAAGATGGCTTTTTTACCAACATATCATCAATGTAAACTTCCATAATTTTCCCAATTAGGCTCTTGAAAATCTGATTGACCAGACGCTAATATATAGCATCAGCGTTCTTTTAGTTCAAAGGACATCACTTGATAACAGCAAAGTCCCTACTCTGTAATGAAAAATGTCTTTTCTTGGTCATCTGGGTGCATGCGAATCAGATTGTAATAAGAGAAAGCATCCATAAAGCAGTTTAGCATCTAGAAACCTACTAGGGCATCAACTAGGAGGTCAATCCCTAAGAGTGGAAAACAATCCTTTGGACAAGCTTTACTAAGATTATTAAAGTCTATGCAAAACTTCCACTTTCCATTATGCTTTCTCACTAGGACCATGTTGGCTAACCACTCCGAATAATGTACTTCTCAGATGCTCTTAGCGTGCAAAATCTTGTCCACCTCTTCTGATATGGCCTTGGCTCTGTCAAGGGCAAACACCCTCCTCTTCTGCCTGATAGGCTTAAAATATGAACCAACAATAAACATGTGAATCATCACATCTGGATCAATTTCAGGCATGTCTTCATGACTCCCAGCTAACATGACAATTTTGCTGTGCAAGAATTCCTCTACTTTATTTTTGATGTCTTTAGGGAGCTCAGACCCGGGAGAGTCACCCGCTCCAAGTGTCCCCACAAGCATATATTGAGATCAACTTCTCCACTAGGCGAGCTCTCATTTCTTCCTCCTGGGGTCAATACTCTCCACTTGGCATGTTNTGAGATCAACTTCTCCACTAGGCGAGCTCTCATTTCTTCCTCCTGGGGTCAATACTCTCCACTTGGCATGTTTCTTACGATGAATTGTTCTTAGATGAAACTATATAACATTCTCTTGCCATAACTTGATCTCCTCAAACTTTTCCTACCCCCTTTTTTGGAGGGAATCAAAGGAGGAGGTGGAACGTAGAAGGTATAGCCTTCAAGGCATTCAGGGTTGGTCGTCAAAGGATGATAATGTATTCTGACGGGCAATCCATTACCAAAAAGTTTACCGTGCGGGTGATTTGTGTAGGGTTGTACCCTATTGTTATGGAAATAGAGATTGCTCCAAATTGATAGGCTCTCTTTCCTGAAAAGCTAACAAGTGGCACTCTAATGGGTCTTAGCTTATGCTTCCCAACATCCTACTAATCGAAGGCATTGGCAAAAACTATGTCAACTAAGCTCCCGTTATCTATCAAGACTCTCTTCATAGTGTGGTTTGATGCAATTATTGAAATGACTAAGGGGTCATTATAAGGGGGAAGACACTCTTTTGAGGTCTTCATCAGAAAAGGTAATTTGTTGGTCAATTTTGGGCATTTTTCCTAGGTGTACCATCTCCTCCGAATCCAAGTTTACTCAAGCTCTCCATACATAAACTTGTTATGCTGAACTACTTTTGCCTCCAAGCTGCCAACCTTCCTGAGTTCACTTTTATTTCTACCAAGGGCTACTAATACTCACGAATAGCCCCATTGGTTCATATCTTCTATAAGATCCTTTAAGGTGATATAGTCATTTGTGTCATGCTTATGGTCTCGGTGGAAACAGCAATACTTATCCCTTGCTCTTTTGCGGGATGGTGTTCTCANAAGGGCTACTAATACTCACGAATAGCCCCATTGGTTCATATCTTCTATAAGATCCTTTAAGGTGATATAGTCATTTGTGTCATGCTTATGGTCTCGGTGGAAACAGCAATACTTATCCCTTGCTCTTTTGCGGGATGGTGTTCTCAATTTCCCAGGCCATTTCAAAATATTGTTATTTTGGACTTTGAAAAGGACTTGCTCCACCATTGTGTTTAATGGTGTATACCCCTGGAATTTACTCAATTGTNCAATTTCCCAGGCCATTTCAAAATATTGTTATTTTGGACTTTGAAAAGGACTTGCTCGACCATTGTGTTTAATGGTGTATACCCCTGGAATTTACTCAATTGGAACCGAGGTCCCAATCGCTTGTACTCGTTCAATTCGTCTGAGCCATATTTGATTTCTCTTGTTCATTTTTTTTCTTCTTCAAGGAGCAATCTTCTTTTCCTTTTCTAGCATTTAAGGCATCGCCCGCCTGAGCCCTTGACAAGAGCTCAATCATACTTGTAAGAAGGGCCTTGGATAATGAAAATAAAAACCTAGAGGACTGAAGCCCCCCATGAAAGCAGTCAAGGCTACCTTGTCATCTGTGCTCACGATAATGACTCTTCACTAAAGCGTGACAAAATCACGCAATGACTCTCTTTCTCCCCTACTTAAGACTCAGCAGGTAGGTTGGTCATTTTCTGAGTTCATCCTCCAATGAAATGGGATAGGAAGAACTTACTTCAACAAACGAGATGATGGAACCTGGGGGAGTTTGTTGTACCTAAGTCATCAAAGTCAAGCTGCTCACTTAAGAGTTATGGAAAATACTCGACACATGATCTACTATGGAACATTATGAAGAAGCATAAGAGACTTATAAGTCTCTAGAAGATTTCTAAAGGGGCTTTCTTTCCATCAAAGCTATCTATTGGAGGCAACTTCAATTTCGGGGGCAAAGGATAATATGTCATCTGGTGTTCCTCGCCTGATCACACTAGGTTTCCCCTGTACGAGAGACTAATTGAGGAGGTTGGCCAGTAAGCATCTCGATGATCTATTGGGTTTGTTGGGCTAAACCCTCCATTATTTGATTCATAATGTCATAGTTTATTCTCAGGTTAAGCATTCTCTAAGCCTCTTGTCATTTATTGACTTGAGGGGAATCTCTGTCATGATTATACTCTTCGAGAAGTTGTTGAGAACGTTGTTCTCTTGGAATGTTCTCTCTGGTAGCCTCCATCAATCTAGGAATGAACATTCAAAATTTTCCTTCGAAAGAAATAGTGAGAACACAAAGAATTTCCCGTCATTGACACACACAGTGCCAAACTATTGATACAAAACATGTAGCAACCTACTCATCAGCTTGTCAGAGCTCCAATGAGCTAAAAAAGAACTCAGAGACTAGAGGAGGAGCTCCGAGGATCAATCTTCTAATGCTCAAGTCAATATTTCATAATAGAAATTTAGCATGACTATGGAATGAGCATTGCATACTTTCTGTGTTCCCCTAAGCTCTTTTTATAAGCCTATGGATTAGCTTCCCTCCACAGATGGACTCCAGGATCTCTTATCCGGTATTTAGGAGGAGAAAGTCCTATTGGGAGTGGATTCTACCATCCCTATAGGACTCCTTTTGACCAAAGAGTCTTTAACTCCCACGAAGGTGAGACTCCTTCGGGGTGAGGGGTCTTTGATTTTTGAATTACTTATAATTTTATTCTCTGATCTTTTATCAAGACTTAACCACGTGAGGCAGGGCTGATTACTAGGCCTGACATAGCTCAGAGCTCCTCCTGACCATGCCAGTCGCTTTCAGCTCTTTTAACGGTAATTTTTATATGGGACTTCTCACCTCACAACTTTTCCCGAGGTGCTTCTTTACTAAGCTGATTTTCATCAGGGTGGATACGGACCTATCCATTGAAATTCGCATAAAATGGTTGCCCTCGGATCAGGACCCACAAACTCAACACATAAGCCCAAGTATTTTCGTGACTGCGCCACTCAATAGCCCGCATCAGCAATTTTGAAAAGAAGATCCAGAAAAGACAAGCAATGATAAATCAGCGCCAAAAAAGAAAAAAACAGAAAAAGAGGCACATAGACCACAATTGCTGTTCATCACAGAAGTGAGTACTTACTGAATTGGACATCATGCAGCACGGGTGCTACTAGTTCCTTGGGGAACTGTTGGACCATCTCGGTTGCACGTCTTTCGCACACCAATGCCTCTTCATAAGTCAAATTACCCTTTCCAGTGACTTTGCAGGTCCAAACTCTTTGCCGATACAGGTTGATCCGGTTCAAGTATTCACTAGAAAAAATAATAACGAAACATTTATCTAACTCAAGAACAAGAGAGAAAAATACGCAAATGCAACAATAACAGTAATGAAATGAAATGAAAAACAAAGAAAACTCATCTAACTCAAGAATAGGAGTTGAAAAAAATACCCATAATCCCTAAATATCTCTTTGGTGAAGCGGACTTGAAATACGAGCTCCTGAGGATTCAAGTCCTTGGGCCTTTCTGACAGAGGAAAAGTCTTTCTCTTGTAAAGAGGCATTCTTGGAGCAGCAAAGAAGCCCTAGAAAATGAACTATGATGTGGCGTTAAGGAGAAACCCTATACAAGATTATGCTTTTAGGGATCCAGAAAAAAATTAGTTCCCGCCAGAAGATGATTTAAGAGCACATAGCATATAATAGTAGACGATACATAGTTTATAGAGACATATATGTGGCGAGAGTGAGAGAAAGCCAGATAGATGTTTCTTACCACGGGTATCTTGAGAAATGAGCCGAGGAATTGGGTGCGAAGAGGAAAGAGAGAAGAGAGACGGTGGTCTTTTCGTTTTGCCTCTGACGTGGTAGCGAAGAGGCGCTCTCTCTGGCTCTCCCTCTCTCTCCTTCGTTATTGGAACACAACTTATACTTTCATGTAAATTAATTAATAGGTTTAATTGTATCGGATGTCCATGTACGGGAGTTGTCTTATTTTGGTTTTCTAATGTTTTAATTGCATTATATTGATCTTTAAAATATTAAATATATTTTTATATGATCTCTCAGTCAGATAATATCCAAATTACTAATAATTTTTTTTATTAGAAACTTATCATGTAATAACTAAATATGAACAAAAAATAATTTTGATAGTTCTTAAACAAAATTTATGTAGCTCTTGACAAAAAAATGTATAATATTGGTAGCGTTTGACCAAAATTTGAGTAGCTCATGATCTAAACTGTGTAATTTGGGTAGTTATTTAACCAAAATTTAAGTAAAAATTTGGTCAAGAGTTATCTAAATTATTTTTTTGTCAATATTAAAGTATCATGTCACAAGTTTATGATAAAAAAATATTAACAATCTGGATATTATTTGCTTAAGGGACCATATAGAAACATATTCAATACTCTAGGGACTAAAATGATGCAATTAAAATATTGAGAACTAAAATAAGATAAATCTTATATTTTGGGGACTTCCAGTATAATTAATCATAATTAATATAATAAAACAACATGAAGTTGAATCTTTATTCCAATACATTTTTTTATTAAAAAGTATAACATCGTTTAATTTTATTATATGTTTAATTAATTTGTAATTTAACATAACTTTTATTTCATATATTATCTATACACAATAGTGTACATATATTAAAAAAAAATTGTCAAATTATACATTTTGAGAAAATTTTGACACTATTTTTAAAAAAATAATAGGTAGAAATTAATTTTAAATGATGTAAGAAAAAAAATTAATTTTAAATTTAGTATAATGAGATCAATTTTTTGAATACTAGAATCTTATATTTCATCATGCCTTCCAACACAGGTTATGACTAGTGTTAGGATAAATTACATCTAAATGTTCTAAAATTTGTCATTTAATTATACAAACCCATTCAGTAACAATATATTGGACAAAAGTACCGCAAGAACAAAAAGACCAATTTGTCCCTAACTTCTCGTATGTAAACTTATATTGTTTAATTTGAAAATATTTACTAGTTCTGGGAAATATATATATATATATATATATCTACTAGTTAAATGACCAATATACCCCTCTTTACTCTCTTATCACTTCCTCTCCCAACTAGATCAATTGTGCATCATTGGTCGGCTCTCTCTCTTTGTTTAACTCTCACCACCACCACCATAGACCACACATCGGCTGACTCCCACACGGGCCACGCCACACACCCATGTTGATCTGCAGCTACAAGGACTACCCACAAGATAAGCACCACCACCACTGAAGACACATTGGCAAATTTTATGAGACTTTGATTCTCTCATCTCCATTCCACTGGCAAAATAGACAAGCGTGAGCACAGTGCTCAAATTTACAAAGTCAAAGAAGTAGTAGAGTGAATTTGAAATAGCAATGCTTATTGGCATCACGAATTATCAACTAGGAAAACTATAACCTCATACATGTTAGCTTTAATTTCTAAAGCTTATGATTTTTTATTTTGGTTTGCTAATTATGATAGATTGTTCAATTTTGTTAAATCGTGTTTTATAATTAACTAATTTCGTGAAGTCCATTATAAAATCTCAACAACTTTTATGGTCATGATGCTATCAAGTTCCAGATTCGAAAGCTACATTGAAGGGACAAGATCAAGTGTCAAAACAATATCATTCAACCTTCATATGTACCTTCATGCTTATGAGAAAAGGTAATAACCTAGACACATAATATAACCCTTTAGTTATTTTTAACTTAGGATGAAAAATAAAATTAGAAGCGATTCAATTATGACTCTTAAGGATTTTCAAAAAAAAAAAGTTTTTCTAAACCAATTTTGTGTTTTGAAAACATAGTTTGAGTCATAATTATACCCCTCTTTAACCAACACTCTTTAGTGCTCAAAAGGACAAGTTGTTGCATGGTTTTAGGCTTAAAAAACCTGTAGGGACCACCTTATGCTCGTTATCCTTCACTAAAGCGGTATTTTGATGACTTGAGAAAAAATGAGAAAAGGTCACGGAAGGCAACACAAGGCTCACTCGAGTGGTCTCCATGGCCAAAAAAGAGAATATTTAGAACACTCACTAACCGGTCATGTATTCACTTAGACGATGTATTAGGATTTAATGTAGATTTTATTAATGATTTGAACTAAACAGAATATTAATTGTGACAGAGTTTGGTTTTCACACGTTACACTTGAATTAGTCAAAGTTAAACAAGATTTGAGCACGCGTGAGTGAAATTGAACTAAGTGAAGGAAACATTGCCCTAAGATGCACGGAATTGAATTCTATTTTTCTTAATATGCCTTAGAGTAATATAATGAGATGAAGCAATTATAATGTAAACCATGTGTAAATTTCATGATTTTTAATATTGAGCATTTACATGTTTAATTTGAAAATTGCATTGCATTTCATCCAATTTCATCCAAGCACGTGCATGTAGTTATATTTAGGTTGCATATACACCAATGCATAAGTTCAAGGTTGTAGAAGAAGTCCGAAGAAGGAGTTCGAGTCACCCCAATTAAAGAACTTGGATCACTTACAGTCATTAGAGCTATTGTAGAGACTTGTAGTATATGTCATATGTAAGCTTGAGAGTGTTTTTATATTCATTTATGGTCTGTACTAAAGTACTCTTTATTTTTGTTGTTGTGACATAATCTTGATCCTATGCTTGATTAATTCTCATATTTGGTCATTGAGTTATATGTCTTGTTTGTCCCTTATTTAGTCTATGTGCATGATTTGGCTTGTTGCTATGCATTCTTTCCTTCTTATTATACTATGATTTTATGGTATGATTCTTATGGGTTGTCATTGGATTAACATTTGTGGCAAATAAGATAAGAATATGTTAGCTGACTTGATTTTGTACCTTGCTTGTTGCATAGTGTCATTGGGTTGACATTTGTGACCAAAAAAAGAAGAATATTTAAGGTACATCTAAGAGTAATTAGGGAGATTTGCTCTTGACTAGACTAGATATGTTGCATGTGAACACAGAAAGGGGGATTTTGTAGAAGGATGAGTTTGTAGTTCAAATACTCGAGGGGAGTAAAATTTACAAGCATAGCATGAAGTCACATATTTTTTCCTGCTTATTTTTTACTTGTTATTTTCCTTGTGAATACCAACTAAAGGGGAAAACTAGATATGTTTTGCATTGATAAATCAATTGATTCTCAAGCATATTAAAAATGCTACATATTTGCAATTGCATGATGTGCTTCTCTTGGCACTTTCTATACTTGTGATTATATGATTTATTTCTTTAACACATGATGCGTTTCACAAAATTTTGGTTTGAGTGATGATGTGCAGTACTATGATCTTCAAGCTTCATTCAAGATATAGATCCTTGCACTAGATAAAGATTTAGGACATATGTATGAGTATTATAATTAGATTTACAATTCTTTTGCTTAATGGTTTGGGGATGTAATCTTTATTTCAAACTTGTGCATTTTGTCACGAAATTGTCAAAATGGGAGATTGTTAGATCATGTTTTATAATTGGCTAATTTCGTGGAGTTCATTGTAAAATCTCAACCACTTTTATGGTCATGATGCTATCATGTTCAAGATCCAAAAGCTACATTGAAATGACAAGATCAAGTGTCAAAGCTACATCATTCAACCTCCGTATGCACTTTCATGCTTAGGATAAAGGTAATGACCTAGACACCTAAGATGACCCCTTAGTTATTTTTAACTTAGAATGATTAGGATGAAAAATGGAATTGGCAGAGATTCAATTATGACTCCTAGGGATTTTCAAAGAAAATTTTTTGTTTTGAAAACATTGTTTGTCATAATCGAACGCCTCTTTGAGCAACACCTTTTAGTGCTCAAAAGGACCAGTTTTTGCATGATTTTTAGGCTTAAAAAACCTATACGAACTGCTCTATATGTTTTCTAACCTTTGTTAGAGCAATCTCTTGATGACTTAGGAGAAAAAGGGAAAAGGTCACGAAAGGTAGCATAGGGCTCGCTCTATGAGGTCGCTCGAGCGGTCTCCATGGTCACTCGAGCGATACCCATGGTCTCTTAAGTGGCCTGCCTTAGTCGTTTTTGAAACAGTTTTTACTCTAGCGACAACCACCCTATGATCGCTCTCCCACGGATCAAACGGTCATTTGAGAATCTAAGTTTTCTTATTTACTAAACCTACCCTTATTATGAGCCTATAAATAGGAAATGCATTTGCTACACCTAGGATAAACCTTTTACAGCTAGAAAAGACTAAAACCTTTCTAGAGTACTTCAACCACAACTCTAGATCCCTAACCTCAAAGGCTATCATCTTGTGATTCCTATCCAACCTCACAACTTGAAGAAGAAGAAATTATTTAGGTGAAGATCAAACCCATTGGAGTGTGCAAACTGAGAGTCTTGTGTGTGAAGTTTTGAAGATTGCTAAAGGCCTAGAAGAACCGTGCAGCAAAGAGGTCCAAGTGAAGCTAACCATAATGTCGGAGAGGGACTTTTAGCAAAAAAGGACTTTCAGCATAGAGGAACTTTCAGTGGAGAGATATACAAAGAAAAGGAGTATCTAGCCATGTAGATTGGTTGAAGTATGTGAGATCCCATGTATTATAAAAATATAAATGATATTAACTTTCTAGTATTTTTAAAATGATTAAAATGATGAGAGAAACTTCAAATCTTTGTTAAAGGAATAGTCGCATAAGTTTGAAGCACGAATATATTAACTTTTGGGTCAAATTTAATTTTTGGAAGTATTTAAGGTTGATAAGGGTAACTAAATAAATATATTAATATTTTTAGGTCAAAATAATATTATCATTGAATCCGGGTGGTCCAAAAAAAAACTTAGAATAGATGTTTGGCTTATGTAGCGGTTCGAATGGGTAACATAGTAATTTTAGTATTTTGAGTGTAAATTAACTTTAGTTTTGAGATAAATCATAAAACTAAATATTTTTAGGTTAAAATAACATTAAAAATAAAACTGGAACGTTGAAAAACCTTAGAATAGTCATAGGGATCAAATTATAATATTTAATGGCAAAATCGTAATTTTAGAGCGAAATATATTTTTTTGCCCCCATGAACAGTAAATTTAAAAAACTGCTGGGTTTAAAACCCCAATTTTAGCCCCTTTTATTCCATTCTCACCCAATACATCTTAGAACCCTAGGAGAAGATAAAGGGAAAAAGGAAAGAGAAGAAGAAGGTCTCTAAAGCTTGAGTTTTGCTTGAAAATCCTAGGAACTTGACTTGAAATTCTTGATTTATAGGTGAGGTTTTCTTTCTCTTGCATTTACATTGTGCATCCCATTTATTTTCTTTAGTTAAACCTTACTATGTGTTTGATGGCAAAATACTTGTTATAAACCTTGATTTATTGTAGAGTATGCCATGAATTGTGAACCTACGTGTATAAAAATAATTTTAGTGTTGTGCATTTGAAACCTTAGTTTGATTTTACTTATGAAAATTTGATTAAACTTATTATTTGAGGGTTTTGAAGTGTGCTATGATCTTGTATATAATATATATGACTTATTCNTTATTATTTGAGGGTTTTGAAGTGTGCTATGATCTTGTATATAATATATATGACTTATTCTCTTGGAAATGAAAATAATTTTAGTGTTGTGGGTTTGAAACCCTAGTTTGATTTTAGCTATGAGTATTTGATTAAACCTATGTTTGGGGGTTTTGAAGTATGTTATGATCTTATACATAATATATATGACTTATTTTCTTGAAATTGGTTGTGTTGCTTTGAAAATGCAAATTTTGAGGTTTGAATATGCTATATGTTTGATAAAAATGTCAAGGTTATGATATAGGTTTTCAAAAGGATTTATGAATATAGAAAATAATGATTTTTAGAAAATGCATGCTCGATATTGACATGCATAGAGTTTTTAAACGATTTGGANGTCAAGGTTATGATATAGGTTTTCAAAAGGATTTATGAATATAGAAAATAATGATTTTTAGAAAATGCATGCTAGATATTGACATGCATAGAGTTTTTAAACGATTTGGAGCCTATTGAGTGGGTTGCCAAGGCGACTACTAGTCCTAAGGGGGATTGGTTATGGTACTGATTTTCGGTGATGGCCTATGTGGTGTCACAAGTTATGCCCTACATGTTCCTCTTAAAAAGCAAGAAGGGCGATGAGACCCTAGGATACAAGACCCAAAAGTTTCNCTACTAGTCCTAAGGGGGATTGGTTATGGTAGTGATTTTTGGTGATGGCCTATGTGGTGTCACAAGTTATGCCCTACATGTTCCTCTTGAAAAACAAGAAGGGCGATGAGACCCTAGGATACAAGACACAAAAGTTTCCCTGAGAATGGTTCATGCGTGAACTAGTGTGATTGATTATATTATCCGTATGCGAGACATGCACGGTATTTGCTATGATGGTTTGACT